ATAAGGTAAATGAGTCCTTTAGATATACTGAACACTAATTTTTGTTTGACTGAAAAGAAAACTCCTGATTTGGGTCTGGTCATTGCCCTCGATTTATGGTGGCGGTTTTTAATTAGAAGGTAATCAACATTGTCACTCTTTTGCTTGATTTTGCTTTTTATAAAGTCTTTCCTAACTTATCACCATAAATATAATCTCTTAAATTTTCTTCCAAAAATTGTACAATTTTGTTTTTCATCTTTAGCCTATCTGGAATATATTTTTGTATTAGGTGAAAGGTGAAAATATAATTTTATTTTTTTCATACAGATAACCATTAGATTATTGATTAGCCCTCCCTATCTTCACTAATTCATAAGGCCACTTCGCCAGATTTTAAGACTCCATGTATTCACGGGGTTGTTTCTGGGCTCTGTTATTTTGTTCCATTGATCTATTTGTGTATCCCTCTCCCAGTAACATACTGCCTTTATGAAAAGTCTGGAAGTATCCTACCACCTCCCCCAAATGTACTTCTTCTTCAAAATTATCTTAGGTGTACTTTCTCATGTGCATTTTAGATTGTAGATGTGTGGTGTTATTTCTGAGGTCTCTGTTCTGCTCCATCATCTCATCCCAAAAGCTTCTCAAACTTACAAGCAACTTCAGCAAAGTCTCAGGATACAAAATCAATATGCAAAATCACAAGCATTCCTTTACATCAACAACAGACGATCCGAGAGCCAAATCACAAATGAACTCCCATTTACAATCTCTACAAGGAGAATAAAATACCTAGGAGTACAGCTCTAGCATGCCACCATTATGGTTTTGCACAGATTCATCTAAGCCACATAGGCAAAGTGTGACCACAGTCTGACCTAAATCTTTGCAGAGCACACTGCCATCCTCCCAAGAACATAGCATGGCAGACAAACACTCCCTATGTTGCAAGAGGTTGTCATGAGTCAGTTTCTTATCTGCCTGCCTAGTTCTGGTGATGCATGAGCTTTCAACCTTAATCATTCCTCACCGTGCTAGAGTATAGTCACATGTTATAAAACTGCTTATCTATAGTCTAGAATTGGTTTCCCCATAACAGAACAACCTACTGCTCATATCATCTGTCGTCTGGACCCTTTAGTTTTGGTGTCATCCTGGGGGACAAGATACATAGGGAGCTGACACCATACTGATCTCGCTTTTGTGATCTATGTAAGTAGTAAATTATAGATTTTGTCCTTATCAACCAAATCTATGACTGGGAGATAAACCTGTATCACTACCTCAGTAGTCAATGCTGCTTAGAAGCTGCTTGACTCATTAGAAAGATGTCGCTAATAGCATTCTTCATGATTTTTAAAGTTAAAATCCCATTTTCCTTCTAATATACGAGAATTTGCTCTTATTTTCCTAATTAAATCTTATTAGAGGTACATCTATCTGATTAGCTTTTTCAAAGAACCAGCTTTAGTTTTATAGATATTCTCTTTGTTTGTTTAAAATACATTTTCAGGTCTTTATTATGTCCTTTTATTTTCTTTAGATTCATTTAGTTCTTTTTCAAATGTCTTGCAGTGGACACTTAACTCATTACTTTTCAATCTTCCGCTTCTAATATTTTGTAAATTTTAAGGGTATACATTTCCCCTAAGCACTGTTTCACTTACATCTCACATGTCTAGTGAGTTGTAGAGTTTTGTTTTATTTTTTGTTTGGTTTTGTTTTGGTCATTCAGTTCTAAAAACATTTCTCATCTCAATAATTATTTTTTCTTTGAGTAATAAATTTTTTGGAATTTTTAAAGTTTGCAAATGAATGGAGGGTTAGCTGGCTATCTTTTCACTAATGATCCTTCATTTTATTAAATGGGAGACAGACAATGTAATTGTTTGATAGTAAGTCTTCACTTTGTACTTAGTGTGTGATCAAATTTTAGAACTGTTGCAGGTATTCTTGAAAATAATTTGTATTCTTAAATGATTATGTTTAAAGCGCTTTATATTTCCATTGAATTAAACTCAATTTTGTTCTTCAAATCTCCTATATCGATATTAAATTTTGCCTATTTGGTCTATCAATACTGAGCAAAATGTTAGCCTCCCATTATGGTTACAGGCTTGTCAATTCTGTCTTAGGATTCTACCAGTGTTGCTCTGTGTATCTTAAGGCTGCATAAAAATTCATAATTATTTTAGCTTCCTGTTTATTCCTTTATCATTATTTAATAACACTTTTTATTTAACAAAAATAAAACCTATATTATCTTACTAACATATCTATACTAGTTTTCCTATGCTTGTTATTTTCATTTTATATATTTTCTCTTTTTAACTTTCCTTTTTTATTTTTTTATTTTCTTTATTTTTCATCATTCTCAGTTCCTATGTTTTTGAAATAAGTCTCCTAACTAAACAGCATTTCATTTTGTAGCCAGTTTAAGAGTTTCTGTTTTTTAAGTGGTGAGTTTCTTTCATTTATAATTATTTCATTTATTGATATATCTATATTTGTTACTACCTTCTTATTTTATGCTTTCTACTTACTCTAGTTTTTCTTTTGTTTCCTGCCTGCCATTGGATTTTTATTTATTTCCTCTCTTTCTACCCTGTATTGATTTGTAAGGCCTACCATCTACCAGTTCTTACAGTTGTTATTCTTAATTTTTGAACATGCATACTTATTTTAAAAATATCTAAATTTATGTGTGTGTGTGTGTGTGTGTGTTTTACCATTCTTAACTAATAACAATATATCTTAACTTCATTTTTGCTCATCATTTATGTTATTACTGTCCAGTATTATTTGTATAACTTAGGAATTGTTATTTCTCTTATTGTATACAATAAGGAGGGATGTATCCTTTGTATATACCCAAAACTGTAATGATTTATTTGCTCATTGTCATTTTTCCACATCCCATTTCCTCCTTTTAGGTTCATTTTCATTTTCCTGAACTATGCTCTTGAGTAGTTCTTTAAGGAAGGGTCAGTTAGTGGTAATTTATACAGTTCTCATCTAAAAACACTTTTACTTAACCTTTACTCTTGAGTGATAATGGAACAGAACTATCAGTTGACAGTTATTTTCCCTCAGCTCTTGAAAACAGTCTTTCATTGTCTTCTAGCAACAGTTAAGAAGACTGTCATCAATCAATGTTCTTTTATTAGCAATTTGTGTTTTTTCTCTTGTTGCTGTTATAATTTTCTTTTTGTTCTTGGAGCCCTACAGCCCCTCTACTATAAGGTTTTTATGCAGTAAGTCTCAGGATTCATGGCATTTCTGAATCTGCAGTTCCTTGCCTTTTGTCAGTTCTAGAAGAGTATCAGCTAATACCTCTTTAACTTTAAATATTGTCTCTACCCCAATCTCTGTATTCTGTGTATTTGGAACTTGGAACTTTATTCACAAACATGCACATACACACACATGCATGTGCACACACAAAGACAGGCATGTTTATATGAAATTCTTATGTTTACTCTCTGGCCTATGCATATACACGCACACACATACACACATATTTTTCCATACTCTTGTCTCCCTGTCCTGCTTTTTGGGAATTTCCTCAGATCTTGCTTCCATTTCACTAATTTTGTCTTCAGCTGTATTTGCTGTTTAACAAATCCAGTGACTTTTTAAATTTCCAATAATTATAATTTTATTTAAAAATTATATTTGTTGGCTGGGTGCAGTGGCTCACGCCTGTAATCCCAGCACTTTGGGAGGCCGAGGAGGGCAGATCACGAGGTCAAGAGATTGAGACTATCCTGGCCAACATGGTGAAACCCCATCTCTACGAAAAATATAAAAATTAGCTGGGTGTGGTGGCACGTGCCTGTAGTTCCAGCTACTCAGGAGGCTGAGGCAGGAGAATCACTTGAACCCAGGAGGTAGAGGTTGCAGTGAGCTGAGATCACTCCACTACACTCCAGCCTGGTGGCAAAGCAAGACTCTGCCTCAAAAAAAAAAAAAAAAATCAGGGAGGGGAGAGGAGATGGAGACAGTAAACTACCATGGCATGCATGTACCTATGCAACAATCCTGCAGGACGCAGGATGTGCACATATACCGCAGAGCCCAGAGTACAATAATAAAAAAAAGTCTGTTATTTTAAATTTTCTCGTTCTTTTCTTATATCTTGATAATGTTAAAAATCCTTATATATTGATTTTTGAAATCTTAAACTCTTAGATATCTAATTATCCCTTTTATTATATCTCCTGACTTTTATTCAGGGTGGATCATTTCTTTATTTATTTTGTAATTTTTATGGTGAGATAACATATAGTTTCATGCCAAGGTCTCAATTCTAACATTCTGCCTTAAGCAAGGTCAAGATTGTCCTCTCATCCCACTGTGGATGTTATAACCAAAATTAGCAAGGTCAGTCTCTCTCTCTCTCACACACACACACACACACACACACACACACACACACACCAGCTACAACCTCAGCTTTGTATTTACTGCTTTTATTTTCAGTTCCCTCTTCATTTTGGGCCTCTAGGGGATCTCCTTTTTCTTGAAAACTCAGCTATTCATTCTGAGTGGTTATTATTATACCTTACCCAGCATTTCTAGGAATTTTTACATAAAAAGTTGTATGCATTCTTAATCCACCATCTTGCTGGAACCAGAGGTCAAACCAAACTTCCTGACATGTCACATGTAATATATTTTAACTATTGTGAAGTCAAAAATGGGTCATTAATGAGCAGATAAATGGTAAGGTACTTCAGTGTATAAGTCATGAAATTACAGAAATATCTTAGCCCTTCAAGTTGCATAGACACGGCTTTGAATTTTAGCTCTGCAAAATGTAATACCTACGTGGCCTCAGGTAACTAAGGATCTCTAAAACTCAATATTTTCACCTGCAAAATAGACATTTTCATGTCTCAAGGTCACTAGTGATATCAAACCTAAAAACATGTATTGAGATCCATTTGGAATAAAAATATTTCAAAATTGTATGACACACTTACATGCCTTCTTTCAAAGAATAAAAATTACTTTACCTTGTCTTAGACACTCAGAGTCATTGCTTCCAGGCTGAGTGACCATGCTGAGAAGGAAAGAGAGGAATGTGTCAGGACCAGTGTGGTCTGCTGGCCTTTTACCCACACACAGGATGCCACCAATACGAAAGGGCTAGATGACAGGTAACATGAGGCTGCCATGCTACATGCTGGGGCAGCCTCACAGGTAGCGTCTGCTCTCAAGATGCTCATACCTAGAAAAACGTCAACCATGAAAATATAAGAACAAGTACAAAGCAGGTTTCACCAAGACCTTTCTATACATCCTCTCAAGAATTTCCACAGCAGCCCTGAGAAAATTATATTATGCCCATTTTACATATTAGGAAACAGAGGTTCACTAGACGTTATATGAACACAATAATTAAGGAAACCAAAAATGAGACCTTCTTAACCACTCTACCACCCCACCTCCATCAGTCCAATTAGGCCCTCCCTCCTCCACACTCCCAGAATGCTTTGTGTTACCCGATATAGCACATAGCACTTAAACCACAATGAACTTTTGATTTAGTGTCTACCCCTACCCTCAGAGCTTCTGGAGGACACTAACTGTCTTGTATACATCTTTGAATCCCAAGCCTCTGGACAAGGTGACTCTAACAAAGATTTGCTAAATGAAACACAGACCTCCTATCTCCAAATCCAATATTCTTCCCTGCTGTCCCACATTACCTCCCAGTCATTATCGCAGAAAGCACCAAAGCCCACCTGGAATAGCCCCATGCCCATGTGCATCTGAATCCATGACTCTCCCCAAAGGTCAAGAAATAGAAGAAGTTTTTTCCCGGGGTAGCAGGAACTAAATCCATATCCATGGCTGTGTCTCTCTCCAGGCTGGGCACAGAGTCTGGCATGGGGCTGGGCACCTCTTAGGGGATCAGAAAGCCTGGGTGAGTGAAATGGATTGGCCTTTTGATTTGAGGAGTCTCAGACACAGAACAGTGCTGACTCGGGGAATCACGGCTCCCGCAATGACTCATACATCAGGACCTCTTTAATGGGAAATTATGGAAATGTGCTGCCTGGAGCTGTCTTAATTAAGAACAACCTGATCTTGATTGCAGCATCTGAGTGAACTCCCCTCCCCTCTCCTTTTCTCCTTGACACCAAGAAACAGAATCTGGCTGCCTTTGACAAGGCTTTCCTTCTCCTAATCACGCGCTGACAGCCTGGGGTTGGTGACAGTTGAGCTAGTTGCGGGTGGCAGCCCTTCAGCTGGCATGAGCCTCTCTAATGGGCAACATCAATCAGTGAGTAACAGAGACCTCACAGCCGCTGTCCTGTCCCAGGTCTCAGGAAAGCCTGGGGCTAAGTCTGGAGACAGGCAAAAGATAATCTGGTTGGATGTTTTTCCAGCATCCATTCTCTCTGTCCCAAAGCTAGTTTATCCTGGAGACTACATTACAACTAGAAAATAAAGATAGACTCCCTCTACCTGCTGCCACCTCAGAGCTCCAGCCCCCAACCTAAGGGCAAGCTGGGCCTGAGCCCCCAAGGGAAGGAAGGGTACAGCCATTTCTCTCCAGGTACAACGGCATCTTATTAACCCATTTATGCCAGAGGTTGCAATTTTTTTTAATGGCAGACGTGAAAAATCAGACCTTGGCAATGACCTTGAGCAGTAGGATATAAATAACTCCCACAAGCTTAGCATTCCAATAACGGAACACTAGGCATAAATGGGTTTAATATACTAAGGGTCCAAAAAGATGACTGGGCTCTAGAAATGTTTGGCTTCTCAAGCGAAGATTCTAAACCCCAGCCCAGAGCCAGATACGACCTGACAACTTCCTGTCAGCCCAGATTCCCTCATTCAGACTGTCCCTGCATTCCCCATCACCATACCCTATCCACGTGCCACAGCCTCATTCAGCAAACATTTGCTAATGTGTGTCAGGTCCTGACACTCTGTGGCTCCACGTCCTTTTCCCCTCCCCCTCCAAAAACACACACACACACTTGTAATTTAGAAGGTATTTATTGAACTAATAAAAGAGTGTTCAAAGAAGCTTATCACCATGTGTGACTCATATTTTAGTTAGTGGCTTTAGGTTTCTCTTGTCCCCAGCTTCTCAAGAGAGTAATTAATAAAGCACAAACAATTTAAATCATTTGGGAGTTCACTATTTAAATGCTCTAAGAGTGAGCTTCATGTAATGATACAGCCATTCCTTGAATCATCTGTGGGCAAAATCTCCTTAAGCAGGAAGACACTGGGACATAACTCCCACTTGAATGAATAGGGCTATTAAACCTCCCCCAACAGGACAAGACAGGAGACAGTGTGCATGCACTCTCCTTCATGTATCAGCTGCCCTAACTGGTTCACAAGGGCTATCAGAAACCTTCATTCTGGAAAATACCCCTTTAACCTGAGGCTTGGCTCTGCATCTTCTACCTAACCCTTTCCAGTAGCTTCTTGGTACCCGGATGAGTAATTATCAGAGTGTGGTTCCCAAACCAGCAGCACCAGAATCACTGGGAACAGAAAGGAAATGCAATATCTCACACCTCACCCAAGACCTACAAACCAGAAACCCTAAGAGTAGGGAAGGCCGGCAATCTGTTTTAAGCAGCCCTCCCGGAGACTCTGAGTAAAGCTTGAGAACCTCTGCCCTACATAGAGATGCGGCCTTCACAAGACCTGTGAGGCCCTCCACAAAGACACGGCTAGCCCACAGGAGCCCTTGTGTAAATTACAAAGGGAGTCTTCTCTAGGAGGATGTGACCACAGCACATGCTTGTCACATAGAACCAGAGCTGTATTTTAGTCCTACTCACCCCCTCAACTGGTCACCCTCATCAAGTAAACAGCCCACACAGTAAGATATAGCAGCCCTGCCCCTAGGAACAGACTCTCTGACCCAAGGCTCCACCACTGGACTCCTCATCCCGTGTTCCAGCCACTCCAGACATTTTGCAGTTCCCTGCACGCATCATGGTACTTCCTACCTCCTGCATACCTTTGCCCTATCTAGTCTCTCTACCTAGAATTCTCTCTCCCCTTCCCATTTTCTACCTAGAAAACTCCTGCAACCTTTAAGACTTAGCTTGGTTGTCTCCTCTTCCAAGAAATAATTGCTGACTGCAGGAGAGTCCGATTCCACTCCTCTCAGCTCCCTTACTATGTTTTGTTCGCCTCTCACATTGCCCTTATCTTGCTGCATTTAATTGTTTGTTTCCTTGTCTCTGTCCTCCTCAAGGGCAGGATCTGTGTCTGATTCACCTCTTATATCAGCACAGTGCCTAGCATATTCATACAGTGACAAATACTGAGTGTCAGTTCTGTACCACGCTCTTTGTACCAGAGATACAGTAATATCCTATCAGATGGATCGATCTCATGGAGTTAATTCACAGTTAAGGGAATGGTGGAAAGGGAGAGAAGAAAGAAAGGAAGAAGCAAGACCCTTGCAGAAGTAGTGGGACATAATTGTTTTTCTGGTGATTTGCAATGATTTAGAAGCTGCCTCAAAAACATGATCACTTCCTCCAGCTCTGGGAGAATGAATTCATTTACTGCAAGGCCCTCTCTGGATACAGTCACAAAACCAAAAAAGTCAAGACCAGTCCAAAGCAGAAAAAAAAAAATTCTAATCAGGAGACCCGTCCTCCTGTGGAACCTGGCTCACTCCCAGCTACTGAAGGGCCATCCTGCCATCCAAAGCATTCAGTGCCTTCCCACAGGGGCTACCCCCAAAAAAGTGAACAGGGACAAGACCATATCTGAAGTCTTGATGCCTCACCTCCCGCAATTAAGCCTCAAATAGCTTTGTCAAGACTCCAATCAGGTTGGCATGATCCTCCTCACTTGGCTGCTAATCTAATAACAAGACATGAATTGCAAGTTTTTATTCACTGCAGTAATGCAATAATGGGAGTTCTTGTTGAAGCCATTTGACTCCTGGACTAATTTCTGCATCCAGTGAGCAATGGCAATTAATAAAGTAGGCATTCAGTTTATATGCAGGAAAGATGAATTTTCTCAAAAATGAAAGAGCAGGTCTGGAGGTGGGAGGAAAAGTGATAGGGAAGAGACTGTTGTAATCAACCTGGAGAGAGATGATGAAGCCTGCACAAGGGGAGAGGCAGTGGATGGAGAGGTCATTCTAGAAGGACATGGATGTTTGGGATATAGAACTAGATGTAGGAGAAAGAGAACAAGAGGGAGCAGGAGGGAGGTGAAGGAGTCTGGTCTGGCTTCTGAAGGTGCTACAGGAATAGCTAGGACAGATTTGCTAATAGAATCAATTTTTGAGCACACTCCCCACCCTAAGCCCAGTTTACACACAGACAGAGGCCTCCTCACCCATAGACTCACATATAAACACAGAGAAGGCATAAAATTGCACGTACAAACTCATCACAGGACAAATGGGGACTCACTGACAGATGTGCATAAACATATTCACTCACTTAAAACCAGAGTTTTGAAATAATTATTCAGAAAATTGAACACAAAAATACTTTAGCGTCAATTATAGGCGTACATTATTTTATTGGGCTTTGCTTTAGTGTACTTGGCATATATTGTGTTTTTTACAAGTAGAAGGTTTGTGACAAGCCTACTGGTGCCATTTCTCCAACAGCATGTGTTCACTTCATGTCTCTGCGTCACACTTTGGTAATTCTTGTAATACTTCAAATGTTTTCATTATGATTATGTCTATTGTGGTGATCTGTGATTGGTGATCTTTGATGTTATTGTAATTGTTTGGGGGCACTATGAACCATGCCCATAGAAGATGATGAACTTAACTGGTAAATGTCGTGTGGTTTCTGACTGCTCCACTAACCAACCGTTTTCCTGTCTCTCCCCCTCTCCTTGGTACTTCCTATTCTCTAAAACACAACAATATTGATATTAAGCCAGTTAGTAATCCTTCAATGGACTCTACATGTTCAAGTGAAAATAAGAGATGCATGTTTCTCACTTTAAATCAAAAGCTAGAAATGATTAAGCTTAGTGAGGAAGGCATGTTGAAAACTGAGATAGGCTGAATGCTGGGCCTCTTCTGTCAAA